AACTTTCATGGAATAGCTTCAAGCGTGGCCCGTTGACTTTGAAAACTTTTTATGTACCTGCACTTTTTATTTATACTGCACCATGAGGAGAATCATTAATAAAGACAAAATAGTAAAACTTGGATAGAAGTATTTCAGCCATAATTTTTAGGCGGGAGTTAAATAGTAAATTTATTTGGCCAATAGAGAATTCCTTCTTAGAAACCATCTTACCATGGAAGTTCTTAGTTTTCATAGGCTTCAAGCCTAAACTCTTCAAGCTGATGTGGTTGTATTTTTCTTTCCATACCCACTTTTTGTATTTTTAAATTACAACTTTTGATCGTCCACTAAGCACGATGCTCAGTTTCTATAGGGATGTGACATGCCTTACCAAACAAAATTCGATAGGGAGACATTTCTATTGGTGTTTTGAAAGTTGTTATTTGAGCCCAAAGTGCCTCTTCTAGATAGCGACTCTAGTCTTTCCTATTTGGTTGCACCATTTTTTCTAGTATCTGTTTAATTTCCCTGTTTGAGATCTCAGCTTGCCCATTAGTTTAGGGGTGATATGCAATAGAGACCATATTCACAACATCGTACTTTTGTAGTAAAGCCTCCATGGTGTGATTACATAAATGAGTGTCTTGGTCACTAATGATAATTGGGGTATTCCAAACCTGCAAAAAATATTTAACCTGATAAAATCTGCAACAACTCTAGAATCAATAGTCCTAGTGGGAATAGCTTCACCCACTTTAAAACATAATCAATAGCAAGTAAAATATAAACAAAATCGAAAGATATAGGGAAAAGACCTATAAAGTCAATTCATCATACGTCAAATACCTCACACCTTACGAGTGATGGATGTACCTTCTATTTTACATTGTTTGCAAGTGCGGTAAATCTCATAAGCATCCTTAAAAATAGTGGTCCAAAAGAAACTTGAGTCTAGGACTTTTCTTGCTGTCCTTTGAGGACCAAAATGTCCTCCAACTTGAGAAGCATGAGAAAACTGTATAAATTCAATCTTATAGTCGGGGAAACATCTCCTAATTACCTAATCACTACCAAATTTACACAGACATGGATCATCCCACACATAATATTTTGCATCACTTTTGATTTTGTGAATTTGTGTCCTAGATGCACCTGTAGGAAAAACTTCATCAACAAGATAATTAACTAAATCAGCATACCAAGGAGTTACCTCACGGAACTGTAGAAGTTGCTCATCAGGAAATTCATCCTGAATGGAAAAAGGATCTTCATCCCACTCTATTCTTCTCAAGTGGTTAGCCACTAAATTCTCATCTCCACTTTTATCTTTAATCTCCACATTGAACTTTTGTAGCAACAACATCCACCGAATTAATCTCGACTTTGCTTCTAGTTTCTTTAACAAGTAATTCAAAGTTGCCTGGTCAATAAAAACAACTACCTTGGAGCCTAGCAAATATGGTCTAAATTTCTCAAGAGCAAAAACAACAGCTAGAAGTTCCTTTTCAGTAGTAGTGTAATTAGCCTGCATAGAATCATAAGTTCTAGAAGCATAATAAACAACATGGGCAATCTTATCAACTTTTTGTGCTAGGATAACCCCCACTGCATAGTTAGATGCATCACACATAATTTCAAAAGGGAGGGTCCAGTCATGTGGTTGGATATTGAAAGTAGAGGTCGATGCTTTCTTCAAGAAATCAAACGTCTTTTTGCATTTGTCATCAAAGTTTAAAGTGACATCATTTTTCAACAAATTCGACACAGGAGAGCTATCTTGCTGAAATCCTTTATGAAACGCTAGCAAAAACCTGCATGACCAAGAAAAGAACGAATATCGCGAATGCAAGAAGGGTAAGGTAAATTATAAATACATTAATCTTAGCAGGATCCACTAAAATTCCTTTTGCAGAGATTATATGTCCTAAAATAATTCCTTGTTCAACCATAAAATGACATTTTTCATAATTCAAAACAAGGTCAGTTTCAATGCATGTTTATAAAATCATATCCAAACTCTTCAAGCATGCATCAAATGAAGAACCATAAACAGTGAAATCATCCATAAACACTTCAATACAATTTTCTATAAATCCAGTAAAAATACTAATCATGCATCGCTGGAATGTGCCAAGAGCATTGCACAGGCCAAATGACATCCTTCTGTAAGCAAATGTACTGAATGGGCACATGAAAGTTGTCTTTTCTTGATCCTCTGGTACAATATGGATCTGAAAGTAACCTAGAAAACCATCAAGAAAACAATAATGTGATTTACCAGTGAATCGTTCAAGAATTTGATCGATAAACGGTAAAGAAAAGTGATCTTTTCTGGTTGCTTGGTTCTATCTTTTGTAATCAATACAAACTCTCAAACTGTTTTGAACTCTAGTGGGAATAAATTCCTTTTTTGTTTTCATTTCTTACCACTGTGAGGCCAGATTTCTTAGGTACCACCTGTATTGGACTTACCCAATTATTGTCAAAGATAAGATATATGATACCTGCTTGCAACAACTTGGTTATCTCATTCTTAACAACATCAAGAATCAAAGGGTTTAATTTTCTTTGGGGTTGCCTCACTGCTTTAGCTCCGTCTTCAAGCAAAATCCTATGCATACACATGGATGGGCTAATACCAAGTATGTCAACCAAGGTCCACCCAGTCGCCTTCTTATGCTTCTTCAAAACCTACAAAAGTTTGTCTTCTTGACCAAAATCAATGTTAGATGAAATTATTATTTGTAGTTTTTCATTCCTCTACAAAAAAAATGCATATTTTAGATTGTCAAAAAGTGGTTTAAGCTCTAGGAAAGGCGGCTGTTCAATGGGAGGTTTCGTTGAGGCAGCCGGGATGTTGAGAGCTTCAGCTCCATAAACATCTTCATCTACGACTTCATTTATAGAAAAAATTTCAACCTGCAAGGCAACCTCAATCTCAGTACAAACAGAACAAAGGTTAGTGTCAGCACATGAATCATAATAGTAAGTATCATCAAAGTCAGACAATGATGGAAAATCAGTTGAAAACAAGTCAAAATAAGTATCGTCAACTAACTCAAAAAGCAATTCAATATGAAAATGTGAATGTTCCTCCATGGGATGTTTCGTAACATAAAAAATGTTAAATTTAACAATAATATCGCCAAACTCCATGGACATTGTGCCACCATCAACATCAATTTTTATTTTTGTTGTTTTCATGAATGGCGTACTTAAAATGATGGGTGTCATGTTTGACTTGATTTCTCCTTTCATGTCCAAAATGCAAAAATCTATAGAAAAATCAAATCATTGACTTGAACAAAGACATCTTCTACTACTCCAGCAGAGCGAACATTGCTTTTGTTCGCCAGTTAAATGGTTAAGCCTGTATTCTGCAAAGGACCAAGATCAAGATTGTTATAAACAGAAGTAGACATAACATTAATATAAGCTCCTAAATATAGTATGCAATTTTCGAATTTACTATCCCCAATGGAACATGGAATAACAAAAGTTCTTAAATCTTTGCACTTTTGGGGCATGACTCTAAGTGAAAGTTGAAACATTTCACTCATTTGTAGCTTTTTTAGGTGCTTTAGGTTGAATTAACGTAGAAACATTCATTTTCGTACTAGCTCTGTCATTCCCCGTCAATCTCTTCTTGTAAGTGCACAAGTCTTTCAGAAATTTGACATATTTGAGAATTTGCATAATCACATCAAGAGTGGAATGTTTAGCGTTACCTTTCTGAATATGTCCAATATCTCCTTATCCTTATCTTCCTCGTCATTTGTTTTGGATTTCATATTCTCTGTGAAAAAAGGAATAGGTGGCCCATATAATTTTTTGAAACTTGCATAAATACCAATTTACTTTTTATTTAAACTTTATTTTATTATGTGATATCAACCTGTACATTTATATTTTTAGCTATTATCGTTAATTACAAAACAATATAAATTCATTTGAATTAAAAGTTCATTAAAATAAACATAACGTTTTATCTAAAATAAATAATTGTTTTTCAATAAACTTAATGAGAGTAATATGAGTTTTATCATAACAAATCATGGATTTGTTTAAATAATTCTGGACTTCCTCACTTTGCACGTTAGTGGAACATCCCCAAAGAGATCATCTATTCTAAAGACAAATATATGTCAAACAAGGATAACTCAACCCATCACTTGTTCCCAATGTTAAATAGATTTAGATAGTTCAGTTCGGATCCCATCTAATGAAATATAACAATAAATTGAAAAGGGAAATGCCGCTTTCTTACTTTTTAAATCTAATAAACAGAATATAATTTTATTAGTTCAAAATATAAATAGTTTTAAATCCGTTATACTCTTCAATTCATAATGTTAGATTAGTTTGTTTTGCTTTTGTCGGTTTTGTAGGTTGGCCTTTTGGGTCAGCTGAATTGTTTTGTTTCCCTGTTTTTTGATTAATAAAGTTCTCTTTTTTTCCAAAATATATATATATATATATATATATATATATATATATATATATATATATATATATATATATATATATATATATATATATATATATATTTCAATAACCTTTTACTCATTAAACAATTTAGTTTTAATTTTAACCATCGCATTTATTCAGGTACAAGTCCACAAATCAAGAATCAAACTAAAAATCTGAAATTAACAAAGAAATCATAATGTAGGCTTGAGTAAATATTTAAATGGTGCAGAAATTGCGGTGGCTCATTTTAGCCAGTCACAAACCCAAAGACACTGCTATGTAATAATCAGTATGTTAGGGGGATCATGTTTCAGATATAGTCCTTAACCCCAACTCTCGGAGCAAACTTCACAAGTTAAAATGTATTTTACCAAAAGATGTATTTTACCAAAAGAGTCATAAACTTGCATCAATTTATCATAGGAGATGCCATCATCATTTAGAAATATAACAGAATGACTTTGTTATTTTCCTGTCATGACAATAAACAACCATAAAACCGTATGCAAACAGAAACTGACAGGACTACTCTTAGTGTTAAAGCAACCTCAGGTACTATCAGACTCATTTCCTGAATCAATATTCACCGGTTGTGCTTGTGCATTTTTGTAGCCACTAATTTCATCCTGATAGCGTTTTTTATCAACACGGGCTTTTGCCTCGTATGGCTCCTTCTCCTCCCCTGTACATTCACCACACAGAAATAGCAGAACTTAGTAACCACATGTGATAGGATTTTATTAGTGATAAAGAATGACATTATGTGGAAATAGAACTGCGTGAAATGTCACAACTGCCAAAGAGCCATACCCGACATCTTTTTCCATTTCTCTCCAAGTACTTTTGCCACATCCGTAAATGAAATCCCAGGATTAGTTTTCTTTAGATTCTGTCATTAAAAAAACCAAATAGTGTTTGAAATTTCTTCTATCTATCTATAGTTATAGACAATTTTGCAGAAGAGAAGTGATCATTTCCACACACCCAAATCCAAAACCACACAACTGGTATCTAAAACATAAAACACACCTCTCTTTCCACTTGCGAAAAGAACATGAACCCAGACAACGCCCTCTTGGGTGCATTTGGATCTTTTTTCTTCTTTGGTTTTCTCTTCTTTCCATCTTCATCGGCATCTCTTGATTTCCTCTTAGAAGTAGATGCTTTAGAGCTAGAAGGCAGATCCTTCTTAGGCTCCTTTTTGGGAGGCTTCTGAAAATAGATCATTATTAAGTTGTTAGGAATACAAAAGATTTAAAGAGTAGAAGTGAGACATCACAAGATAAAGGCAAATAAAACAAATCACTTGCCTCTTTCTCATCATCACTTTGGCTAGCATCAGAATCATCTGCCCCAGAATCATCCGTAGGAGACCCTTCATCGTCTTTTTCAGCAACAAAATCTTCATCCTGTAGACATTTCCCAATGATTAGTATATACAAAAGCAAACAAGATTATAGAAAAATATGGTGCAGGGTAAGGGAACCCCACCATAAGAGATAATCATGTGCACATAAGTCCGGAAAAAGGGCACAACCATAATAATATGCAATACAGAAAACACAAGAAAGTGAAAAGGATAGATAATAAACAACAGAAAGTCCGGCTGCATAACAACAAAAATTCAAGCTCAAGAATGCCTCGAAGAAGTAAGCATACTTCCAACATCTTTTATATTTTTTCTATGCACAAAAATTTTCCAATGTTGGATACAAATTAATATTGTCCTTGTGTGCTTAAAATAGAACACAAATTTAACAAATGCTTCTCATGAACAAAAGATGAGGATAAAAAATGAATCAAATATAGGTTAGGCACCTCCTCGTCACTTTCATTTTCACCAGCTTCATTTCTGATGCGCTCAAGATGTGGATCAACAGCATCATCATCATCGCTCTCAAAAGCCTTAGACACACCTGCGGCTGGTTGGGCATCTCCTAAATTCATAATTTTCAAGCCCTTTGAACTGCATGATCAGGTAAGAAATGAATTGCTATATGACAAACAAACAGTTGTCGAGTAAAATTTGGCAGCGAGGTAAGTTTACCTGATAAAACCATACAAGTTGTGGTACTCATTTCTCTGAATATTACGGAAGAGATGCTCTTGCTCAGATTTTAGTCTGATAAGAAGGTCAAAATAATGCATATTTGAACCACCAGCAGCATGTCGCTCAAATTCCACATGGTCAATCTAGTCAGAAACAATGAAACAATGAAAACCTCTAATTGGTGATATCATATGCAGCTCCACCAGTATTAATAACTGGTCATCAATAAACAGATCTCAATCTCACCTCTTCATGAGTAATAAGAGTGGGAGGTTTAGGTAGAAAGAAGAAGCTCTTCTCAAGGGGATACAGAATTCCATCTTCAGCTTTCAAAGATGATTTAACAGCATAACCATCTTGACAACTCCTAAATTTTCCAGGCTTGGTAACTTTGGCCCCAGACAAGCCACGTAATATTGTGGTGAACACTTCATGGATGAGCCCCTGATTATTGGATTATAAATGAAATGTATCAAGTATTGCATCGTATCGCATGTGACCCGTAGTTACCAAATTTTCACATCAGTCAATCAACTGAAAATATAATGTTTCATGTTTTCCCAAGCAGGTCTTGAGGATCAGTACCCCGGAATTGTATATCAACAAATCACCAGTTTAGGCTTTACCTTATAAGACAGCTCCAACTTGTCTTTATACTTAGCGTTATAGAGATCTTCACTTAATGCCAATTCACTTTGAACCACATCATCAGTTTCAAACTATACATAAACGAGCAAATCAATGTTAGCTTCAGAAGAACACAAAATATTTATCACCTAGATTGGTAAACCATAGACCAATGAGCCATTAAATTACCTGCATCACAATATGAGGGTACAAAGTTTGTCCTTTCCGAATAGGGGGGTCAAGACTAATAACGACGAAGGTATGCGGCTGATTAGACTGTAGATACATACAGCAGGTTGACATGAGAAGTCAGTATTCTTAACAAGTCCAGAGAAAAGCATCAGTCTTGAGACATGATTGGCAGATAAACTATACTAATAGCTAATATGGAAATCAATATCCGTGAAAAATTGAAAGCAACAGATCAGAAAAATAAACCTTTGGAAGTAAAAATAGTCGAACCACACTGCTATACTGGATTTTGAAATCATTAGCCTGTCCTTGAAGCCGCAAGAATGACAGGTGTAACTCGACACTATATCGTCCTCTGCACAATAATACAAATTTCTACTATTAGATACTTGCTTTTTCTGTTGAAAGGATGTAAATGAAATCAGAAGTATGCAAGAGAGTGATATGAAACCAAAAATAGTTGAACAAACATGTCTGTGTATTTAAAGATGTTTACCTTGGTGTGAGGATTGCAATACTCTCAAATGTAACAACAGAATTTTCACCAACAACGTCAACCACAGGAACTATTTTATCATGGAAAACCTGATACGAAAAATATTTTGCAAATTTGGGGTTACATTGGATTTATTTAAGGTTAGATATGTTTTTAGTCCCTATAAAGTTATAGATACTCCAAGTTTAGTCCCTATAAATTTTCTGTCCATTTTCAGTCCCTCCTTTTATAAAAAATAAGGGACTAAAAGCACCCAGTTTTTATAAAATGAGTGAATAAAAGCACCCTTTTATATAAAATGTGGGGGCTAAAAATTGATAATAAAAAATATAGGGATTAAAAACACATTTAACCAATTTATTTATTATAACATGAAATTTGTTAACCTCGTGAACAAACTCACCTGAGCAGGGGGGCGATTTTCATCACCAACGAACTGGGTGTTTGAATTCGGTATATGGAAACTTATCTCCATCAATGAATCTTTCTGAGATCATATGAATAATATTAGACTATAAAAAAATGCACACCCAAATTGAACCGGTTAACCCCATCCCACAATACAGTCAAGTTCAATATGGATAAAGAAGGTTTTTTGTAAGCAGCTGTTATGAACTGTATTTGTTAAAACTCAGACGACTATATATTTATATACCTCATTGGCTCCAGTTGTGTCATCCACATGAAACTCCAAGATCACATCATTTTTCCCTTGAAGGTTTGTTTGAGAGACATCTGCTAAAGGCACCTCAAAAGCTTGCTTTGAACCAACCATGAAAGCCAGCATATTACCTGAAATGGAAACAGAAGCATAAGAACATCCGTTAGTAGTACAACTGTATAGAAGCAGTTAGCTCAATTCCATCAAACCAGCTTTGCTATGAAGATAAAGAATACATTTGGTTGGCAAAACAAGAAAGCAAGAAATTGGCACAGTTCCTGTTTGAGAAGCCAACCCAACACCACCTACCCCAACCCCCAAGAAAAAAATATTCTAAGAGTACAAGGAAAGCTAGTGCATCTCCAACAAATGGTATTAACTGAAGTTCTTGGCGGAGTGATATGTGTTGGTATCACTTGCAGAAAATATCTATGTACCTGTTCTTGTGATGCATCTATGTTGTACAGAACACGAAGTCAAATATTTTTACTCCAAAACAAATTTTCTCACGTATAACAAGTAAGGATGATAGATCCATCAGGAAAAAATGCAATACATCGTGAGGAAATATCAATTTCATTACATTAGTCAGTTCATGTAAACATCACCAACCATTTAAATCAATTTCTCCCCAATTGCGCCCACTAATAGAAAGTTGCTTCTCCTTTACAGTTACTCCAAATGTCTTTTGGAAAAAACTTGTCAAACTTACAACGTCCTACAAAATAAGTATAAAACATCAGCATAAGAAATGGAATGTGGTAGCAGTCCAATTCCAAGTCATTCAAATTTTGATCTGCCAAAGTGTTAATTAAAGGAACAAAAATAAGAAAACAATCCAGATACGTTGAATTCCTTTTTCTACATCAAATATATGCATTTAGGAAGGGCAGAAAGTAACCTGATCACGAAATCCAGTGAATTTGTGGAACGAACCATCTTTGTTCTGAACACCAAGTTGATTACTCTTTGGAACCTTCGTCCATGTCACGCTCAATAAGTCAGCTTTGTCGACTTCAATAGATTTACCCTTTCTCTCCCATATAATTCCCCCAGAATATATTTTTATCTGCCCTGGATTCTGCAAACACAATATATGAAAAGTGGTGTCAGACAAAACAAACGCTATATTCTGCTATCTATTTACAAATCTACAAAACAAAAAAAATTTCCCCCTCTTATCATTGTTCTTTTATCTAAAAAAAATAACACTGAAATTTGATAAATCCTTGACACGGGATAAGCAATGCAACATCGAGTAGAGACTATGTATGTTCAGCCTCTTCCTACGGATATTTAAATGAAATCAGTTGTACATAAAACCAAATGAAAAAAATATAGCACGGACACCAGAAACACGACACCGACCCCGACACGCCAACACCAATAAAATTTTATAAAATGAATAAATTAAACTTAATCACAAATGTCAGCTGTTTCAGACACTGACACACCTTTCCTCAGAGGTGTCAGTGCTAAAGAGAATGAAAACACTTTATTTTGTGCTGGTTAAGCACCTAAATTCCATAGTAAATCTTAAGGTATAGGTTTAACTCTGGATTCCCCAATTTGTAGATTATACCAAAATTCCATTGTAAATCCTCAATGAGGTAAGTGATTCTCCTGACTTCGGATGAGGCAAATATGCCTCCTCTAAACAAAAGACCACTAATGCCCTAATTCCCCATTGTAGCAACTAATAATCAAAATTATTAACTTATTTACAAATAAATAGATCATTAGAATGCTTATAACAATAATAATGATAATCAGGGGTTAATAAACGAGTAAGAAAATACAGAACAACACACAAAAAATAAACTAGGGTTCTTTTCGAAAAGAAGAATTTGCAAGCGATACATGTAAATTGAAATGCTGAAAAATAGGGATCATAAAAAGAGAAACAAAATGAAAGTTGGCTAAGGACGGAAAAGAGAATGGAGGATGGTAGAGAGAGAACTGACGGTGCCGCCGCGGCCGACGAGGGTGATGTTGTTGAAGAGATGACCATCCGTCATGGCTCCTCCAATATTACTGCTACACTCTTCTGGAAAAAGGATTTTATAACTGTCCAATTTGGATATATATAACCATTCGAAGAAGAGTAGCGCGCCGAAGCTATTTATAGTATTTTATTTTATTTGGCCTATTCATTATATTTTATTTTATTAATCAATATACAATTAAAAAAAAGAGGAGGGGATTAGGGGTGCTCATTCCTTCGGATAAATTCAAATTAAATTGAAATTCAAACTAAACTATAGTGTTTAGGTTGGACATTTTTTTATTTGGACAAAAATTGAATCAAACAAATGAAATTCAATTTTAATTGGTTCGGACAACGAATTTTCAAAATTCTACCCGCGAACTCGTCTATCCGAACCAACTATATTAATTCATATAATTTATATTATTATAATGAAAACTGGTATAATATATTTAATTTTAAAAAAAAAAATGAAACATCATTTGTGACATTCGCAATCTATATGAAAACACGAAAATAAATAAAAAAATTATATTATTATACAAAATTAGTTGATATAAATTAAAATATTTTAAAAATATTTTCGCATATTTGTTTCTAATGTATGATATCAATTCAACCTAAACTAATCTGTTATTTCTCAGTTTGCTTCAGTTTGGGTTTTAAAGAAAAATATGGAAATCCAATTCAAATCAATTTATATATTTTTGATCGGTTTTGACATAAGATTCACTCAAAACTCCAAACTGACCCGCAAACACCCCGATGAATGATCTAAAAGTTAGTAATAATAATTTTATATTAAAAAAACTATAATTGTGCATATAATAACTCTGTCTAAAAAAACTTTTTAATTTAATTTATTTTAGGTGAACACTCTTGATTGTGTATGGGCGTTTAATAATTTAATAAAATGTTTACAAGAAAAAAGATGAGAAAAATAAATTTGTTTTAAAACATAAGAAAAATATTATCAAAAAGTCTGTCACACCAAGTAAAAAGAGAAAAACCTTTAAGAAAGAGAAAATTTTAAGAAAAAATAAATCTGCAATGAAGAAATTGTTACTAAAAAAATCTGTTAGTTTATGTTGAAAATAAAGAGGGATCCTAAAGAGAAAGTTATTGAAGAAGATGTCAGTGTCAACTTGAATGACATGCTAGTTCTTGTGAATAAGAAAAGTAAGAAGGTTATTAGAGGTAAGAAATTACCTAATAATGTTCTTGCAGTGCCTCTAGACAATGTCTCATTCCACTCTAAAGAGTGTGTGTTGAAATGGAAATATGTTTACCATATGTGCGTTACACATGAAAGAGGACCATCAAAAGAATACTGAAATGTTATGAAATTATGAAATTGTTGGAAGATGCATAGGTCGGGAAGATTGTGTCAAGTATAGGTTCATTTTATCCAAAACTTGTTAAAGAATTTATTGTGAACTTACCAAAGGAGTTTAATGATGTTGATACCAGTGAGTTTATGAAGGTTCACATGTGTGGACACTATTTTACATTCTCTACAACGGTCATAAATGATTATTTGGAAAAAAGGAAACTCATAATTGTTTATTGTATTTCCTTCATAAAGATAATAGCTCAGAAAATCACCGAGAATGTTCATGATAATTGGTCTGCCAAAGGTCCTCTCTCTGCATCAAGTCTGGGTTTGAAGTACATTATTCTAAGAAAAATAGGAGTTACTAGTTGGGCTCATACCAACCATTGATCAGGTATCACATCATCTCTTGCCAGTTCGCTCTATCATATAGGAACAAGAGCCACATTTAATTTAAGTGAGTGTGTTTTTGAACAAATTTTGGAACAAGTTGAATCTTTTGCAATTAAGTTGCATATTTCTTTTCTATCATATATTAGTAGTATTCTTATTAAACAAAAACCGAATATATTAATTAGTGAAGATATTGTTTGAATTTCTCTGAGTCACTTTAACTTTAGCTACAAACTATTTAGTGGGAAATATGTCTTGAACTTTGTTCTCCTCGGTCTTCTAAACTTTGGTGAAGCAGATCTATCTACAAGTGTCATTTCTCTAGAGGTCCCTTCTAGGTCAAGGGTTATTATAGGCTATATTTTAAATGTTCTCATGTAGGAGTCACAAGCTTTGCAAGTGATAATTACTACCTCAACTACAAGAAATAGTATGATTGATGGTCTCATTCAAATGATGAATCCCAAAGCTTATGTGGCATCCACCTCTCAAGAAGCAAGCCAAGATGTTGAGAAGGTTGTTGAGACATCTAGTGTTAATTAAGAATAGGTTAGAAGTGAAGATGGTGAAGATGTGGAGTGTGATTTTGTCTCTGATGATGATGACTTACAGTGACAACATGACTAATGATAAAGTTTCTTTTCTTTGATTAAGTTTCATGTAAGCCATTTGTATGGAAGGATTTTAGTTTACCTTCTCTAACCCTATGTGGGTATGTTATTTTGATGATGTGATTGCCCTTTTGTAGGTCAGATATTGCTCTTTTTATGCCCTTCATAGGGTTATTTCTTTCTTGATTTCTGGCTGGATATTCTTGACGAGCTGGATAATGTTTTACCCCTCTTTGTTCATTTATGGAAAATAAGGGGAGATGAGTGAATGCGTGCACTTTTAGTTGCCCTTATTTTATGTGGTTTCCTCATGAATATGTGTTTTTGATTAACATGTTATTTGTTTAGATTTGTTGAACTATGATGTTAATAAACTTGTCTTGAAGAATGTTTGTGAGATTATGTCTAACATTTTTGCATGTTGTATTTGCCTAAAAAATTGTCATACAGAGAGTTTATTTTTACATGTGATTTGCAGCATTTTATGGACAACATGTGAAGCAAGATGTTGTGCCAAGTCGTAAGACATCATATCTATAAGTGGTCAAGACACTTTAATAGAAAGCAACATGCTATGTGTAATGTCATACATTATGTGAAATATCTTGTCTCTCTATAAGTTGTTTTGTGCACAAAACTGGTTGTATTAACTCTCATGCATGTTTGATTTGTTTCCTTTTATATACAAGCAGTGATGAAATTGAGTTTGCATATTTTTGGATTAAGAAAGTATTTAATCTGAATCAGATTTAGCAAGATTAATTTTATATTTTCAAGAGATTCAGATTTATTTAAAATTTGATCAATAAAGATTTTCAATTAACCATTATTGAAGACTGATCCCTTGTGCTTTTGAAGGTTCACATGTGTTCAAGATTTAAACTATACTAGGCTTTGGAGCTAGACTTTTGTTGAGATTTAAGGAGTTGTTCTCCCTTGTGAAGACTCATACATTGCACTACTAAGCTTGGTGTGTTTATATTGATCTTGAGTCTCATGTTTGTTTTTGTGTAATAGTGTTATATCATTCATATACTTCTGTAGTTGCCTAAACACCTAGGAGATTTCAAATCATACCAAATTGGACTTCTGACTATTAAGAGAGAATTTTCTTTTATTGGGTTAACGTTCTTCAAATGTAGGTGATTTTGCACCAAACTGGATTACCAATGTATGTGTTATTTATATTCTGCCTTTATCTTGTCTGTTATGCATTATACTTGTCATACACATTGTTCAAACATTATGTCTGCCTCACCCACCCCATTTGTTTGTAGGCTTTTAAGGGACATGCATGCTTGTTTGCCAACCCTAGATCAAACATGTCATTTTTGTCGTTATATGCATACTAAGTTGCTCCTCACATTTGAAACATAAAGGTAAATAAAATATTTAATTATGATTTACCATTTTTATATTAACTTTAAAAATTTGATTTGTCTTATTTATATTAATATTAATCATCTAAAGGCCAAGCACTCATTTTTGAAGTTTTGTGAGATAGTGAAATGTATCAACCATGGTTGGAAGATAGTGCAATGGTTGCATTTCAATGAATCATGGTTTCAGCAAGTATTAGTAGCATCTGGACTAAGGGATGCTTATAGGACTTATTTTGGATTCATCTACCATGGACTTATGAATGCTTTTATTGAAAGATGGCACTCAAAGATATTATCCTTTCATCTGCACATTAGTGAGATGAGTATCAGTTTGGACAATGTATCTTACATTCTACATTTTCCTATCACTGACCAATTATTAGATCACTCTACCATTTAGAAAGTTGAGGCACTAAACCTAATAGTTACATGCTTAGGAGTTGATTCAAGTAAGAATGAGCTTGAAATTTTGAATATGTAAGAACACACACACAATATGCATTTTTGAAGGAAATATATGATACCTATTTGATTGTAGTTCTAATTGAGCTTGTGATACTTTAACCAAAAAATGTATGTATCTCATTGTGTTGTAGTACAATCACATTATTCATTGTTTCTCAACCCTTGCAAAAATCACTCTTATTGTCTTCCAACCATTTCTCAATCTACCTTGAGCAAATTCAATCATGTTTTGTTGGGTTGAATATGGGTATAGAATGGTCTAGAAGGAGAAGTTAAATAGACCTTTCCCCAATATAATTGTTTTTAAAAAGTTTTCCAAAATCATAGTTTAGAATGTGTGGGAGTGGAAGTTTTAGAAATGTGTTTTAGAAGAATTACATGATTAACTTGATGTACAAAAAATACAAGGAAAATAAGATGATGAATTTACTAACAAACAATATGCTAATTAATTTAATTCAATTCAGAACAAGGTATTTGAATGGAATTTTATTAATATATACAACAATTAAACATTGTAGTTTTTTGCAAAAATAATCACCTGAGAAAAATGTTTAGTAGACAAGATCTAACATATACCTAAGCTTAAACATACGTAACATAACCTAACGTTATGCAAACTAGAAAGTAACTAAAACCTAATGACGTTAAAATTGTATACGTAAGTTTAAAAGAGAATGGTGTTATTACATGTGATTGGTAATATTTTATAGCCAACATATGAAGCAAGATGTCTAGCCAAGTCATAGGGCATCCTGTCTCTAAGTGATCAAGAGACTTTAATACAAATCAACATATTATTCACATTGTCTTACATTGTGTGAAACATCAGGTCTCGTTCTAGGTT